CAATCATAAAGAGACATGGGGAGGGGGAACTGGCTGATTTTGTCCACAGGTGACGGCTGAACTCGGGCAAGTTTTATCGCCGTCAAAAGAGAGCTGCCCAAGAGACGTTTGAAGTATACAGCAGCACAAGGAAGTAGACCCCAACAAACGTCCAAATCCTAAATCCCCGAGCCACATCATGCAGTTAGTGGCTCGCAAGCTCAATACTACTAGGTTGCAAGAGCGCTTGCTCGGCGTGTGGGCTCTCCTCCCTGCGCCACTTCAACCCCGTACACATCTGTCCGGGTCATGGAGTTATGTAGGTGCCTAAGTAATTACCCATACTATTTTGGGGGTTCCTTATTATAATTATAGCATAATGGGCCGCCAAACCCTATTCTAATTATTAAAGCCCCTATACTACGTACTGCTTAACCCGGAAATCGCCCAACAAAAACCGAAAACCCGTGGGTGCCTGGCCGGCCCTCAGCCCTTTTTCACAAGGGACTCTGCTGCTGCCCTTACTGCCCAGCCCTTAAAACCCTAAACCTTGGGCTTTAGCTACAGCCCCTCAAAGGGTTTAGGGTTTAGGGCCTAAGCCCCGCAAAGGGAGCCTTCTTCTCCATCAGTCCGTTGATCTTGTCAGTGATGACATCCAGCTGGGCTCTGAGTTCGGCCTGGCGAGAGAGAATGAGAATACAGATGAGTAATGGCCTCCTTCCACCGATCCCCCCTGCAGTATAATGCTGTAGTAGCGAGGAATGATAGCAACAGTAACAATAGCAAGGCCGATGCGGATTGCTGGTGCTTGTAGCTAAGAGGAACCAACTACGGCTCGAGGGGTGCAAATGACAATTGGAGCTCCAAGCCGGCCTTCTTGGCATAGAACTCCTCCTTGCCACCGGATCGCTCCTAGCGCATCCAGCATGGAATGGACTGCCAAGTGAGAACTGAGGAAATGGCTCAGCTGAACGCCCCATGACTCATCACTCATAACTTTTCACCACTTAGTCTCCCAATCTATCCCATCCGCGGCACACATGATTTCAATCTTTGACTCTCCTGAAGCATCCCGCCAAACACAGAAAGCTCGCAGAATAACACTCCTGAATCTTCTCGGTAAGCTTCTTCTGCTTGTCCTCCGGCCGTGAAGGCGTAAGACGACTGCGCTATGCTGAGGGTTTAGACTCTCGCACTGACACTGGGAAGCGTATGATCTTGAAGTGCCTCTGCGGGACAGGTTCCCTCTGGCGTTTGAGGATCTTCGGGATTTCCGAGATGCCTAGCCTGCTCATCTTCCTGAACCACAGCTGCACAGCGACTTAAGTGTAGGGGCTCAACAGATTCAGTGGTCAGCTATCTGGGCGTCTCAATGTGTTTCTTGTTTTCTGACACCCGGCCCCGAACCTCGGAGTTTCGAAATTCCACAAATCCATACTGTGATGGTGCTGGTGCTAAGGCGGGAGCGAGAGAAAGCATGCACAGCAGACACTATCGACTAATCAGACGACAACGGCGTGGATGATGGTGGCTGCTGCTGATGGCGAAGATGACAAGTGTACACAAGATGAAAATAGATAACCACTTCGTGGCTGCATATTACAGTGTCATCTAGTTCACTATCGTGGCGAAGCATTCCTCCTGCTGAGAGGTCCTGCAGCTTCTGGATTTCCTCCTGGATCTTCTCGGACTTCGCATCAAACTCTTCCTGATAAAGGATGCAGCCAGGCAGAGTTTGAACTCGCTGGGCATTGGGCATGTCACCGTGGGGTAAACACAAGAAAGTTTATTCGGTTCCGGGTACCTCTTAAAAAAGCTCCTTGCTATTCGGGGTCCATGTTGGGACTTCCCTCAAACTCTGAAGCACTTCCCTACCTTCGGCTCAAACAAATTAGACACTTCCAGAAATCTCCCTGCCCTTTCTGAACTCATAAAGGCCTCGCACACCGCCCAAGCCCAGAATGCTTCCCATGGATGCTTCCCATGTTTCCCCAGCTCCCCCAACTTGCCTTGTTGGGCTGAGGAACCTTGGGCTTCTCATCCTCCGGCTCCTCGCTGCGACAGGCGAGGTGGCGGCAGGCGGTGCGGGTTGATGAAAAAGAACAGTGCACAGACAGATAGAGCAGTAGAATACAAAGAATCTGAACATATGCCTATACATATACACACATGTTGTGTATATCTAGTTTAGTATATTTGTATAGATAGGCATGTACGTATGTTAGCATTATGTAGGCATGCATGTAGCTGTGTAGGTATGTAGATATCCAAGTATGTCGGGATGTAGGTATGTCGGCATGGATGTATGTACGTTTGTTTGTCCATGTACATTAATATATATACATACATATATATATATATATAATGTGTGTGTGTGTGTCTCCAAAGTGCGGGTGGCCTGCCAGCGTCCTTAGCAAAGGATCCCTAACCTTCGAACCGATCAGGGAGGATTCGGTCTCGTGGGGGTTGTCGCTGGCTTGGATGATTTGACGTCTCCCAATTAAAAGCCTATCCTAAAATGAACAAGTATATACACAGACATGCCCGTCGTCTCGACCCGTCTTCCCTTCGAAAGCAGTTTTTTTGTTGCCTCCCGCCTGGCTAGGACGATCCTACGATGCAGGGTCAGATATAAGCACTACTTCGAAAGCACTATGCCTTATAACCCCGCCCCAAAGCCTTAGCCAACCATCTCAACCCGAACTCCCCCCGTAACCGCTTGAGGGCCCTCCGTATAGCACCTATGTCTAAACATGCATGCCTGCATGCATGCGTACATGCATAGCATACGTGTTTCTATATATATATATATATATATATTTATTTATTTATTTATTTATATATATAATGTATAACTAACCCCCTACCCTTCCTCATGGCACCCCCATTTCCCTTTCTAGGGCCCCTCGGCTCCTCCTTCTTCACCTTAGCCTTAGCCTTGCTTTCCGCCTTGGGCTTCGGATCGGCCTCCGCTGAGTGCAAAAGCGCACAAAGGGAAGGCCAAGTAGCCATACCAGGGATGGTAGTACTAACAGAAACCAGAGTACTGACAGCATTGACAGGGAAAGTGACGACACTAATGCAGTAATGATAGCAACTTGGGGTTTCAGGCTTACGATATGCACCCTCAAGCAAAGACTGAGAGGTAGCCGCCTTGCTTGCAATAAGGTTGTCAGTCTTCACCTGATGTGTGCTTTATGTAGCAGCTGCTCTTGCTGCCAGTTTGGCAACTTCTGCGACGTGGTTTGTGTGGCAGAGCCCTGGCTTTTGATAGGCGCCAAGGGACCACAGTTAGAGCATATTGCCTCAGGCTTTTGTAGGGGAGGGCCTGTGAAGTGTGAGCTCCAGGGCGGCACCGACAGGCTTCAACCAGTAAGGTCTTACATCTCGGGCGCAAAAACCGAAACATGCACTCACGACGCCTTTCTGCAACTCCTAGGCCTTAGTCTCCTTGAACTCAAGCGCACCCACCTACAAACTTTGCCCCAAAAGCCCGAACCACTGAAGCTCCCCGGAGGTAGGCGAGGCCTTCGCCTTCGGTGCAGTCTTTGGAGCCATCGCCTCGGGAATACGAGTACCATATCATATCAGATCATATCATATCACATACGTAATATTATGAATCGTGATATCTATATATATATATATATTGATGTCATGGACTAGGGTTTTGTGTTGTTTGACGCGCACACTCGCATGCGGCAGGCAAGGCGACGAAGGTCCGAGAATGCGACTGTGACATGCAGGAGACGACGAACAACCCACCACCATAGATTCACAAGCCTGAGTAGTGGTCACACCAAGTCACACCTGAACGGTTTACACCTTCCCGCATTCAGCATGCCTGATCCTAATTTTGGAGCCCAGCCTAAACCAGAACAAACTTCTCCAGGCCACGAGAGAAGAGCTGCGGGACGTTCGGGGGGGTAGCGGTGAGGCACAGCCTACTTTTGAGCCATCTTGCGCTGCGACATCCAGCATCGAGCGGTTGAGCATATTCCTCTGCACTCCCAAATCCCTCTAGGTTTCAGTTTCATTCACATCACCGGAAAGTCTGAGGGTATGCCTCTGCATTTACACCGTACGTAGCTTTTAACAGTTCAGGCTAAATGGCTAAATCATGAGGGTTCCGTTGTCTTCGCCATCGATCTCCGAAGTCATTCGATAGCCAAGTGCACGTCTAACATCAACGGTACAAGTACATGCCGCTGGTCCGTGAGTTTCTACCGACTTGCGAAGCATACAAGGCAGGGTCCTGCTCGCGGAGTCGAGGCTCCGCGGACATCTGAACCTCCTGGCAAGCTTCTCACGTCTAAACAGTCCAACGACTGGTAAGCGCCGAGTTCATGCCAGAATGTTGCGGGGGAAGAGGTATAGCAGCCGCAGCGCTAGCAGCTACATAGCAGGATTGTATCATGCAAACAGTGTTTGTCTGTGTATTTTTGCATGGGTGCTGCGCAAAATAACTCATGTTGATGGGTTTGCGCGCTAAACTTTATAGAGTGCGAGGCAATGGGTTCCCAGGAGGGCCTTGATTAGTTTGGAAATACGTCAAGGTATTGTTTTCTTGGGCCTTGCCTTCTGTTTCACAGTGTCCAACCCTCTGGGGTCCCAATGCCTGTATGGACCTGCATGGTATGTGGCGCCTATGACACAGCGACCTAAACCGAAAAAGCAGTTTTTGAAAGACAAGGATCCTAGTATAACATTATACTCGCATTACTAAACTACTATCATAGTATTTTTGAGTAGTAATAATAGTGATCCTTAGCGTCCCCTTTTGACCTGCGGCGGTCTCTGAGCCTCCACAGCCTAGAGCCCCAGAGCTTCGAGGGACGAGCTGAATCCGGAAGTCTTTGCAAGCCCTCAAGGTGCCTCTAGTCGTAGTGTATATGGGCAGTTGTCAGAATCAGGATCCCCTTCTAGGTCCCCAAAGCCGATGAACAACCTTTGAGTCTCACCATCCCGAAGAACACCCGGCAAGCGCATTCGCGTCGGCTGGCACAGAACATCCCTCTTGCCTGGCCCTCGAAGGCTTTGAGAATACCTGCCGATAGATCCGAAGGCAGGTGCCTAAAAGCCCCAAGTCGTATCTCCAGAGCCCCAAACCACGCAGACTCGCCCTTATGGCCGTCTTCCAAAAGTCACAGGCCCTGGTACGGTATGATGCCGGCTCTCTGGGCCCAGAATCTGTCACTGGCAGCATTCTTGAAACTATTATGACCTGCTTTTTGCATGCGCATGCGGCAGACTTGCATGGAAACTTACACTGCTTTGCTCTACATTCCCATCTTTGCGTAGATATCCATTTACCGAACTCTGCTTCTGTGAGTATCTACCACAATGTATGTGCCTTCTAGTAACTTACTACCTCCTGTTAAATCTAAGTAAATGTCACACGGCAAGGACCTAAGCCACAACAGTCACAGCGAGACTTCGGCTGTGCAATTTCGCTACTGCTCCGATGACCAACTCGGCCCCGGACGGTGATTTAGTAATATACAGTATGCTACTACATGACTCCAGCATGCCGATCCGAAACCATGCAGACAAGAGGCAGTGCAAAGTCTGACGAGTTCGCATGTAGGGCGAATAAAAAAATCGAACGCTGGATTCGCCGACCAGCTTGCCTCAGTCGACTCTGCAAAGGCCTGGAGCCCTGCCGGCCTGCCGTGCACTAGTTTTTCTACGATGCGATTAGCCCCTGAGAGCAATATTCGGAAAAGATCGGAAAAGGCAACCACGGAGAATCTAGTGAAAGTGCAAATCCGAGAGAAGTCAGTGTCGGTCATTTTCCAGAAATACCTCGGCCCGAAATCATCCGGCCAAGGTGCGTATTTGCGTTCCCGCAGCCTCACCCTGCAGTTTGCCAAGCCTGCATCAGAAGGGTCTATGCAAGCAGTACCATCAAAATCACCATCACGACCGCCACAATGGTCATCATCACAATCATCAGCATCTTGCCATCGACCATCATCATCTTGAGCACCATCATCCATCTAGCCTTCTCCCTTGTCGCAGTTCTTGCATGTGCGACTTCGAGTTGCATGATCTCTTTCTCGGGTTTTGGAGTGTCAGACATGCTCACGGGGTGTAGACAGGATGTGTTTCGGGGATCAGCACACGGACTGCAAGACACTCTGAGAGGCTGTCGGTACAGGAGATTCTGTCAGCAGCAGAAATATGGATCAAGCACGCGCTCCAGCACACCAGAACGACATTTTAGCAGAAACAGCTTCTACAACAGAAAAGCCTCATCCCAAGCCCTGAAACCCAGGTTAAAGCGGCCTTGTCAACTGAATCTGAGAATCTGGAGTCTGCCTGAGCTGATACACATTGCACCTACGAGTGGGTTCAAAGATCTCGCAGCTAATGCATTGCGAGGCCACTAGTCACACGAATGCTGAATTAGCAACAACTGGCCCAGTCAGCAGAGCAGGCAGATGCAGCAGCCAGCATAGTTTGCGCAGCTATGGCAAACAATATTGTCTCCTGGCGCTCTAATGACCCGTGCTGCTATGTGAAATGCGGAGGCAGCAAGAACAATGCAGAAATCACATGTCTTGCGGTTTGGGGCTACCGCCGTGTCTGCGCCTGCAACTTCAGCCGCATACACCGCATGTTTATCGACCGAAGCCAACAGCACCATCTTGTCACAAGGCTTCCATTACGACAGACTGGCGACAAGCTTCAGGTCCAAAGCCCAACACCTTGCCATCTCAATGCAAGCCTCAAAAACCGATCGGTAAATCCAAGGAGCGAATAAGCAGAGCGGTCCTGTGCCGAAGATGTACGACCCAGAAACAGCAAGGGACTTCAAGGGACCACTCTCGCAGCCTCAAGACTAGCCGCGATTCTGGCAAGATCGGCAACCAAGAAATCAGATCCCATTCAGGTATAGCGTTAAGCCCTGAAGCAAGCGCGACAAATCCTTGTTGCCCTCGCTCTCACCGTGTCGCCTCGGAGCATTTGCAATTCCAAATTCGAACTACGTGAACCCACTGATTGTTTCTGTGATCTCATATATAGACTACATCGCTGGAGTTTGTCGTTGAGTTGCGCGTGTTCTGTGCACGGCCCGAAGTCGCATGGACAGCCAAACCCATCAACGTTCTACGAGGCAGCTTCTTGCCAATCCGAAGCGGCTTCACGGCTTCGCTCCCTAATACGGTGGAAATCGTGTCCATTCTTAGACTTGTGTTCAACGTGCTTTGGTACGGAGATTGCACCCGCTTTCAGACACAGATGAATTTCAACATGCTATGGCTATGGCTATGGCTATGGCTATGGGCCTCACAAGAATAAGTTGCCAGGCGAATAGTAGAAGTAGCCAGGAGGCACTTACCACCTCACATCCGCGCTTGTTTGGGGCTTTGCTTTCTGAAGCGCCGGTGAGGGACCGTCAAGAACACACACGGCGAGAGCACGGACAGGAAAGCCCCCAAGCCCCGGTGCAAACCCTGGAGCTGCCAAAGGCCAAGTCGCACAAGAATGATGCGCTTCGGGCGAAGCCGATCTCGTAACACCCGCTTTTTGGCCTCGCCGAATGACTTTGAAATAGTTTGGGAAATACATGCTTCTCTCAGCGTCGAAGGCCTCAAGGAATTCTCAAGTCATGTTCACGCCGAGGCGAAGCGCTGCGAATGCCCGGGCAGTGGAGTGACGGCGGTTAGGGATCTGGCTTCATCTACATAACCTACGACCTACGAAAGGTAATTCCCGAATTCGGAGGGGTCCTCTCAACTCAAACCCTTGCGAAGCCCGGTAAATACACAATCTCAGCAACAAAAACCCTGCGCTGGTAGAATATGCGTCCTGGGTCTTTATCCCGCCTATTACGCCCATGACGCCCAATGCATGTACCTGGATACGTGCATGAGTTCCACTTCGAGGCACCCCAACGTGTACATCATTTTCGGGGCCGAACCCAAATAAAAACAGGACTGCCACTAGACTCTTCGAGGTGCCAAAAGTGTTGGCAGCAACTCCTCAACCAAGCGCTCCAGATCGTCTGAGTCCAAGTGGCCTTGTTCGGGTAGTTCAAGGCCGGAGAGAGTTGGCTGAGGGCTACTTGCTGTTTTTCTTGTTTGCAGCACTTGGAATCGCTTCTGCTCCTCCTGCGACTACTACACCCGCACCCCGAAAAGGTATCAGAAACGCGGCCCAGCCGCCAACTTGGTCAAGCACGCTCGCGACGACGTCTCTGGACCTCTGGAGGACTGGAGTCTTGGAGTCTTCAGAGCCGGCCAAACTTGTTGCCTCTTTTAGTTGAATCCAGGCCACAACTACTGACCGGGTTTCGAAATGAACTTCACAGGATGCATAACTGCGCACAGCCCTCTCCCAGCCTAAATATTATACATCCCAAATCATCGTGTATAGGGTGCTGACCCTCCGAGAACTCAGGGTCCTCCAAAAGGAACTCACTACTGAGACTGCCAAGGGGCGGGTCTAGCGCTGCCAGCGCTGTGTGGCGCAAGGGTGCCACTGGAGTTTGAAAAGGCACAAAGGCGATAGGCCTTGACCAGGGAGACAATTGTTGGCTTTGGGTGTAGGCTTCTGGGGCTACATGGATAGGAAAGTAGATAGATAGACTTGTAATGTATAGATCATCAATCTTGCTTAATTATATGTGTTTACTTCTATGTTTGGACTGTTTCGATGGTTCACGGTCGGAGCCGTTCGCTGATTCCAAAGCCTGCTTCAACTTGGCACCGTGCTTGGCAATCAAGTTGTTCTCTCATCAGTCCACGTTTCACATGTCCAGTGCATAATGACCCAAAACCCAACGTGAAGGTTGAAGGGACCAAGCAGGTCCGCCCGAAAATGGAAACTCTGTAAGTTGCAGGTTTCGCTTTGTGATATTGCGGCTGCAAATGCTTGGTGCAACTCGCCAATGAGTTAGAACGAAACACGCGAACCTACGCCCCGCACGTCATTAATCTGGTGCCGATTATCGAACCTGTTATGGCACACGCGCTCGACAGAGTCAGGCGAAGATCCCCATCAGGTGAAACTTGGAACTCTGTGCGAGGAGCTTTCAACGCCTGTCATTTTCCTCCTGCCTTCTGCTCAATTCGCTGTCTGATAAAACCTCGCGGTGGGCGAAGCTGCTGCATCTGTCGAGACAAGCAAAGAACAATGTAGTACTTGTCGTACTCCTCGCTGTTGAAGGACTGTTCGGCTACCTTCTAAGCGTCTTCTTGCCATTTTTTGATGTTGCTGGGACGGAGTTGATTCCACATTTTCATCTGCAGGAAGAATGTGACCGGAGTGTTCAACAATGAAGGAAGCTAACGCTAACTCCACTGCTCGCTGAACCTGATTTGTAGCTACGCACCAGCCAAACTAGCGCAACTCTTTCACATGTAAAAACACCTGGTGTTTTGCGCTCCCTGGGATCGTCACGAACACCCGTGTTGGCAATGTCGGCCACACGTAGGGTGCAGTGAATGCTATGGTATCCGATGTTTGCATTGGGACAAAGACCCTGCAAGGCTGCCAACTGGCCGTTACGCAGGAACGCTCGAGCTTTCCGCTCTGTGGCCTGGGGAACTGTTCTTTCCCAAAACTTCTCCAACACAGATGTTTGCAGAGACCGCGATGTGAGACCTCGTAGAAATGGGCTTCTCAAAAACAAGACATTTCCTTCTCGATATCGCGAAGCATTTTGGCAGCATTTACACTTTCACGACCTGCTCATCGTAATCCACTGCCCGGTAGATAACCATGTGCTGGAATACCATACCACGCAAGGACATGGTACCCCCAAAGCAGGCGGTCTCTTTGAACCATTGGTCAGGGTCATGCAGCAAAGCCATCAACAGCTCCAGCACTGCATCAGCGTCGTGGCCACCGCGAAATTCAGGTTGGTGGAGAAAGGTCTCCCTTGCCATTACCTGTTCCAAGATTCTGAAGTGCCCTCCGCTTCGCGACAAAGCAAACTCGATTTTTGCGTTGATTGTGAATTGCATGTCTGCCCCTGCTTGAACCAAATGCTTCTTTCAGCACCTCGCGGCATTTGTTCAGGCCGCTCTCGGTGTGTACCTGATCTCACGAAATCTGCCTGATGCCTCGCCTGGATACCTCCGTCGTTTCTCTAAAGGTGCTTACGTCGAGCCATGTCACCAACACCAGCGACATCCGGCCAGCAATTAGCTCCTGCTGTTGGAAGTCTGCGAGCTTGTCGACGACATGTCGCCGCACCTCCGAGCCTGGTGCTTCCTCCACCTTCCTGACTTCATCCAGTAGAACAAGAAGCGCAACTTCATCGCTTTCAAGCTTGCTGCCCTCACTTTCGTGATCGCGAAGCCATGCGGCGAAGCCCCCAAGGTTGCCTATTCCAACAGGCGAACTGCGTGTCTTGACTAGCATCCAATCCGCATTCGTGTAGTCTGCTACCAAGCGCTTGAGAACTGCCTTCATTGCGTCATCCTTGCTTGCTGCTTCGGTTTCAGCCTGATCACGGTGTTCATCACTAGTCTCCTCTTGAGCCATACCGCGGACGGCAACGGCTTGGCGAACATTTGCCGCTGGCGCCAGGGCTAAAGAGTCGGCTAAAGAGGTTCGAGCCGAAGCACTTGAGCCGTAACCATTCGATTATCGAACCTTTAGACCTGGACTTATCAACCCTCAACTTGAACCCTAACCTCAACATGCTAGTGGACTGCTCCATTTCGCGTGCTATGATTGCAAGAAACAAGATTGCGGCAGCTTGTGATGCAGCAGGAATGACATGTCGCGCCCGAACAGTACGTTGCACTCACATGCTCACACGATCTACTATGAGGTTTCGGTCTGTCTGATTGATATGGAGGCTTGAGGGCAAAGCGAGAGAGAGAGAGATGCATGTGTGTGTGTGTGTATATATATATATATATGTATAGGTACTAATATATCAGCTCTGCTTTACCAGTGGCTCTCAGTTCGCCACCTTGCAGTTATCATTGCTTTAGAAACTCATGCGCACTGCTGTCATCTAATGTAGGAGTTCCAACCACTCCGAGGATCTCACTGTCTGCACTTCTGCGTTCCCTATACAGTTCCAACATGCAAACCGCAGGAAGGCTTGGTATCTTCCTCGTGTCTCGGCCTTCGTTTGATCCCATCGGATCAACATGCGGCTCTGAGGCCACGGCGCGAACAACGCGAAAAACAGCACAGACAGAAGCAGCACCTGCGAAACCACCGGAGCTGAGCTTTAGCATTGGCAGGGCCTTCTCATCTTCTTGTGCGTCTCGAAACTGCGAGCCGATCAAAAGAGCCCACTCTCTGGTGTGCGGTCATGTAACCTGCAAACGAAGCTCTTGTCTCTGCCATCTCCCTCTCTCTCTCTCTCTCACTCTGCCTCGCCCACCAACTTCCAATCTGTAGGTCCGAGGCACTGACTGTACCAAGAGACAGCCCAGGCTCTCTATTCTCGCTTTCTGGGCCTTCCTAGCAGCTCCGCCCCTTCCTCGCATTACTACGGCCGAGGCCGTGACGCTTCTCCGCGCATGGCCCAGGACTGAAACCGCCATGGGCCCGACAGATAGTCAGGAGGATGCTAATCCTATTCTGTAGTTCTGGTGTAAATCAGAGCTTCAGACTTTTGGTCTGTAGGGATTGAATCAAAGGCCATGTGCCTCCCAAGCGAAACCGAAAGGGGCATCGATTTGGTTGGCTACTGCTGCAACATGTTGAGTGGTGGACTGGGGTGGGTTGGAGGGCGTCGAGTTCTAATGACTGGGCGGCACAGGTGGCTTGGACTTCAGGCTTTGCAGGTTCTGACGGCTAGATGAGTAAGAGTTTTGGGTTGCATGTGTCGGGGACTGAAGTTTTGCTGCTGCGGATATCTGGCCTTCAGGTTTAGTGGTGGGGTGGACGGCTGTCCATTCTTGCTTCGGGCATGTACCAGTCTTTAGTCTTTAGCTTGCTGACCTCTTCTCAACATGCAGACCCTGCAAGAGCATGCCAAGTTCTGCAGAGGGGACAAGGCAGGTGCACAGAAAGCCACGGAGAAGCTGGTTCCAGGCCACATGGGATCAAGCCGAATTATTCCCTGCGCGTGCAAGTCCAAGGCTGTCAGTTTTAAGTACACGCCAAATGGACACGACAGAGCAGGCATGAGCAGGCACAGCTACACAAATGATTGCATGCGTTTTCCTTTGGGGCCCTCGATAGTCGATAGGCAGAGGCTGGTGGCTCATGGACGTATACCTGTGACTGAAATCAATCGTCCTGACGTGCAACTAGGTTCCTAATTATAACCGGACAGTCTGTACTACAACATCGAACAAATTAATATAGCATACATCTATATATATATATATGTGTGTGTGTGTGTGCTATCCTCAAGTCCTGAACTTCCCACGTGCTCTCCGTGAGTAGAAATTCTGTGAATCCGTCTTTCGTGAAGCACCTCTCAGAAGCTCAGAAAGCGCAACTGAACCCTAAGGCCTTTAGGTCTTGCATTCGAGAGTTTGGAGGATCAGGGCTTCCACGGGTTCAAGGCTTTAGGGCTGTTCTGACAAATGACGTCCCCCGCGCCCTAAGCCCTGCTGCCTAGCAGCACGTGGCATCAGGGCCCACGCATGAGGGCAATCACGGCCGCTGCTAACCAGTCGAAGTTCACATGATCCAAGTCCGCTGTATGCTTGCTACCGTGAGCTGTGAACTCCAGGCTCTGAGCCAGGCGCAAGCACAACGGACAGAGGATTGACACGAGTTGTCCAACGGACTTGCACCCGGGCGCGGTATTCGGATTTAGGGCTGGGCCCTCTTGCGTGGTCTTCAAACATACAAGCACATACAAACACAGGTTGATGGATAGATAGACGAAGAGATGACTGGATGCAGCGATGAAGTGACTAGATAGTCGGTATCAGAGATGTGTTCGGGCTTCGGGTCTTCTCTGACATTTGATTCTTTAATTCGCCTGGCGAGGGGCCCTGATCCATGCACGCTATGACCACAAGCGTTCGAAGGAAAGATGTTCCCCAACCTCTTTCACCCGGACTTGGATGCCAGTGCCCGTCGCAACATTCAAGCTTGCGGACTTAATGAATTGATGATTGATCTATCTACAGAACTTCCTGGCATAAACCCAATAAGCTCGGCTGTTCTCCGGAATGCTAACATCCCCCCTAAATCTAAACCCATGCCTTCCCTTTTTCTTCTCTCGAGCTCCAGCCGCTGAGTCCTCCTGCTGGTGGTGATCGGCAGCTCCTGCGACACGCAGAGACCATCCAGCGCCGACTTGAGCTTTGAACCTTATAGTATTATATTATACTATGTAATATGATATAGTATAGTATTATACATAATATAGTATAGTATAATACAATATAACAATATACTTACAAAGACCTACCACAGGGATCACATTGCTGGGCTGGGATTAGGATTACCTCACTCCCTTCATGCAACGTTCAGAAGGTCTTTCAAGGGATCTTGTAGGAAGCTCGGCTTTCCAAAGATTCCGGCAAGCTATGACAATCCGGCTTCTGTAGTGGTTTAGGGTTTCGGCGCTCACACTCGGACAATCCAGGCGAGGCATATGGTTTATGGTTTAGGGTTTAGGGGTTTGAGCAAACCATTGGGCTAAAGCTGTCAGAGGCGAACCGAGCCTACCTCACCGTCCCTTCACGAGCAGCCCGGGCACCCAAGCAAAACTCTGGCCCCGGCCCTCCATATACTATGATATGAATCATATACTGTCATACACTATACTATACCATACAGATTGCGCTCTGCACAGAATCTTTCCGGAAGCGAACGCAGTCCATTGAGGACCACAATGTCAGCTATTTCTGGCGCAATCCGAGACCTGCTACAGTATACAGGCCTTCGGTGCAGTCCAGCTTCAGCTTTGCGTATGATAGTGTCGTCGAGCCCACAAATGTGCATCCACAAATGAGCATCTGTCTTCCGTTGCCTGAAGTTCCTCAGTCTGTGCTTTTCTCTAAGCACCTCAGTCATGCAGCAAAGGCTGGCCCTCAGTGCTTCAGAGGGTATCGCCACTTGACCTCGGCCGACAGAGCAGTTGCGCAGGAGACTTACTCTGGGAAGTGTAGGGAAGCTTACAGCAGCTGGATTTTACATCACAACCAAGACTGCCTGGTGGAGGAGCGCGCAATTCTGAAACCCCCACTGCAACTGGACAAGGACAAGACGCATGCCCCGATCTGACAGGCCAACGTAAACTCATGTGTGAGGGATATCCTGAGGAGTGCTAGCAACTTTCGTCTTGGCGCATTCTGCAGGCAGTGACCAAGCGCACTTTCTAGATCCAGGCAAACTCAATATATAATATATGTACAGTTTCTCTGCAAACTCTGCGAGGGGAGGACCGCATGGGTTTATGGCCGAGGATGGAAGAGGGTCAAACTGCTACGCCGCAGAAGCTATCCAGAAACTCGAAAGCCCTAAACCATGCTCTTGCACAAGTTCCCTCCAAGGTCCAAGCCAGTCTAACAAGGTTATCTCTAGCCGAGTTGAACCCTAACAGTAAAATGCGTCGAGGCCAAATCTCGTAAAGGAAGAGTTTCGACTCGGCACTTCAGGTAAAAGGCTGCCAAGGAAAACAACCACCAACACGACGCCGGTGAGCTGGAAATTTCTGCATTACAAATTTACTGAACCCGTAGTCTCCACTTCTTCCAGATTCCAATGAGTGGAAAGCCGGAGCTCTCAAAAGCACTGAAGAGAAGTTCCCTCCAACATTATCGAGGAGTGTGTTGGGTCTAGACTTAATTAGCTTTTGAATGATTCAAGGCCCTCTACTTCGACGGTACAGAGGAATTGCAGGAGCTAGTTGGGGATCCTCGGCCTCTACGAACAGACCCACGCCCTCAAACCCTACTCCGAAACCCGAAACCCCGCAATGCTGAGCCCTGAAGCTTTAGTACGTCCCTGGGTTCCGTCCAGTGGCCGGCATGGGTGGCTGCTTGCCCCTTAGCAGAGGGGTTGAAATCTTACCCCCCCCCCCCCTCCCAGAATCCTTACACTTTCGCGGTTCAGCAATCGCTCAAAGTTTGGCCTTGCGGAACTAAGGACTATAGATACTCTTCATCAAGCGCTTCAAGTTTGGGCTTGAGGGGCTCGGATCTGTTCGATTTGGGGTCAGCTTTAAGTTTGGAGTTGAGATCTGGCCCCGCAGAGTCCCGACCGAACCTGAGGGTCAACAGGGTTTTACGAAGAGGGTTTCGCGTTCTTGGGAGGCATCGTGAGCACAATGCAGAATTGCCCATCCTTGAGGCGAGTTGCGGGATGGGACGCACCTGATTCGGGTCGGCATCATGGTACCAGACGCAGCCATGGCAGGTTGTGTCCTGCAGGTGTGAGCTCAGCAATGACAGGTTCGATTTTGATGGCTCTCAATTAGTTTGAGGCTTCACGGGATTCACGGTCAAAACTTCCACAAAAAGCCACATGGAACAAACCTTGGCTCTGAGTGTGCAGGTTTGCCTTGTTAAGAAGCGATTCATGACATCGGTGTAAAGGAACCCTACATCCTTGCACACGTGTTGACTTGCAGAACCTTGCTTGCAACATCGTGAATGCAGAAGCCCTTAAGGTTCGTGCCTGCCCTTCGAAGGCATGAACTTTCGGATGTCAGTCACTGGCATCTCTCCCCTCCCCCTCGACTGCGAGCCTGATGCCTCTGCACGAAGGTGCTGATCAGCTTACCTTCGATCTCTGCACGCAAAGCCCCCGACGAGGTCAGTCGTTGCTTGCATTTACCAGCACAGGCATGCATGCACCTCTGTCGACGACTTCCGACAGGTTGTGCTTCCATGGTCGTACAGATATTGAGAGTCCGCTGCTAGAACACTGGTCCGGAGATCTGTGCACATGACATGGTTTGCAGCTTGCTGTCCCGGCGACGCTCTTCGTCCGGCACGTGATCGTTGTAGTGCTCCTGTCTGCTCACACGGAATCCGTGGTCAGCACAATACGGCACGGTCTTAGTCAGGACGACCCCGCTTTCGGATAAGATACAAGCCTGAAATATTCGTAATACTATTTCCAGATTGATTCCACAATCCTTAGGTGTCTTACTATACATAGATGTAATAGCAGGCCCCCAAACCCTGGTTTGATCATTCAGGCCCTGACCTTATTCCTTGTAGTTCTACAGGTAAGAGCTCATCACTGCCGTCCTTGTGGTTGTGCTCGAAGGCTGCACTCATCTTCTCGGATTTCCTGGCAAAATAGTTTCTGAAGCTTCTACTATTACCTGCTTAACGACAGCAGTGTTAAGAATTAATACCGTTTTCACTCTTGATTGATTCATGCACTTGTTTGCTTATTACTTTTTGACTGATTACTCGTGTTATTAAGACTATACTCTGGATCCGAGAGCCCCTTCCGAAATGTCTGGGCGCCGGGCCTCTCCGGGTCACCGGGCTTGCGAGGGGCCAGCCAGTGCTGGGAAACCTCAGCCCATGGGTACCTTGCAGTGTCGAGCTCCAAAGGCCACCATGGTTTCAACAAAAGTTACTATACGGCTGATGATCTAAATCCTGCCTTACCCATAATAAGGAATATACCATAAACTCCCATAGTTTAGGGTCCTTAAGGTAATGCAGGCTTTACATCATCAGCAGTCTAATTGGGTCCTGTAAAGATGACACTATAAGGGTTGCGGTGAAGGGCTACTGCACAGGGCCCAGAACTCAGGGCTCCTCCTTGATATTCCCTGCTACCCAGTCTAAGGCCGAACTTGCGGATGAGCGTGTAGGGCTAACATCGGGGCTGCGAGAGACTTCGGGCTTGGGTTTCGGCTTGAAGGGTGGAGGCTCTGAGAGTCTTCAGGCCGCTGTAAGCCGGATCCCACGCCCGCCCTGAGCCCAATGCCAGCAGCTTTGCGGCCAGATGGAAACGCAACAGTCTCCCATCTCTGCTTCAGTCATATGACATCCCATGTGTAAGCCGTGTCTCAACTCATCTTCTCTGCTGAACAAGATCTATTCAACAAAAGGTGACAACAACACTCAACAAATAAGCCCAGGCACACATCCCATCCGCGGGCATACAGGGCAACCAGCCTTTGCTTGACGAAGTTTCTACGCGTGTTTGTTGAGAACGTTGGCATCTCCATGTCGGGTCTAGGTCTAGGAGTCTAGGCATAGCTCGTGGATGTGCCACTGTGACAGCACCCTTCTGCTCTCATATTGCCAGGTGAAGCGGTTTCTGACTCAGATTCGCGGTTGGATCGTCACACCGCCTTGTTGCCTAAAACACCGAGACGACCACAATTAAAACCTCTGGTGGGAGAATCCCAGTCGCATGGCGAAATCGCTGCTCATGGTCTTGTCTCCCTCACGCTTCTCCATGCCTGACACAGTCAGAGTCATACGGTCCAGAGTTGCACGAGGAATAGCAGCGCAGAACTCAGGACCAAGTCCAAATGCCAAGCCCAAACTCCCAATTTGCTAATGCAAGCCTTCGAAATCAAGGCGTCGCACCCACCTGGGCGCGATTTTTTGACTGGGGTTTCAGACGCGGGAAGCCCTCCAGAGATTTGGGGCCTCTCGGAACTAGGATCCTTTGATTCATAAAAGATCCTGTGGTTTTAAGGTCGACATTGGAAGGGGCCCCTTCTATTCACTCGCTTCCGGGGACTCCCAGCTGGATGATTTGAAGAAGGCAAGAGATCTGTGCCTCGATCGAGGGAAGTGTGTGTCGTTTCAATAATCGCCTACCATCAGCAGCTGGATTCATTCCATCTGCACGCCATGCCAATGCAAAGCTTCCGAACTCCAGCACCCTCTAATCCCGCGGTAGTTCTGGGCCGCCCCTTATCAATTCTTGCAGAAAGTCAGAACTCCCGAACAGCAAGCATTTCCCAAACCTTTCAACAAACCTACAACCCTCAAGCCCAAGGCATCTGAACCCCCCCCCCCNNCCCCCCCCTCCAAAAACAAAAAAAAACAAACGAAGGGAGCGATCCTCACTGAACCGTGCGACCGCACAAACCCCAAAACTCCGAAGGTTCCGGTTCCAGCGGCTTCGGGTCGAAGGCATCTAAGATGGCCTCTGCCTTCATACAGCGCTTTCTATAAAGGGGC